CTGAGCTAATAACTATATATCGAATCTATATTCAAAATTTCATTTAATTAGATTCAATATTGATAGAATTGTGAATATTTGAAAATCACTGATTTTTGGTGTGAAAGGGTGGCCCGAAAGGGGGGTGGCCCGAAAGTAGGGTAGTTGACTAGTTGACTTAAAACTATCTACCGAAGAAAGACCCTATCTAGTAACTGGACTATCACTATTCACTCACTAATCCGCATCCCTTCCCTCCCCCTCTCCCAATTCCTCAACCCAACTCCTCAACCCAACTCCTCAACCCAACCCAACCCATTTTATATTTAATATAATAAAAAGCTATCTATAACTATAACTACAACTACAAGTAAATAAATAATATGTATAATACCATCCTCATATATATTCAACATTTTTTATCCAATTCAATCTAATCCCAATCCAATCAATCCCATCCAATCCAAATACAAACTCAAGACTAGAATATAGAATATAGAATATCACGCTCCACTTATTGTTCCATTCTAATCCACTACAGTATACTCCTCTAATAAACCACAAACAAAAGTTACAAAACAAAAACAAGAATGGTATCATCCCAACCCAACCTCTAATTTTTATTCCGTGCATATGTGCATATGTGCTTGTAAAACAATTTGACGCAACCGCCACCACCCGCCCATTTATTTATGTACCCAATATCCCCATCCCCTTCCCCTTCCCCTTCCCCTTCCTTCCCTCCCACCGCGCATCTTCATCCTCAACCCATTCAACCCATTCATTCCATTCAGCACTCACCAACAACCCAACTACTCATCCGAGAATTCCACCGCCACACTCCTATCCAAATCACTAACCGTCCCCTCCCTTTCTTCGCCCAGCCTGTCTTCGCCCCCCTCCACACTCTTCCCATCCAACTCTTTACATAATCTCCCCAGTAATCCCTCCACCCTCCCCATACAATCCTCCAACTTACCCAATCTCGATCTGATATCCTCTCCCTCCTCATCACTACTCTCTTCATTCAATAAATCTCTCAGATGTTTCGGGATACTCATTCCTGCAAACGGAGCTACCGAGTCCCTTCGGATTCTCTTGGTACTAGTGACTGTATCTCTTCTCTTCATATGTTCTCTCGGATTCTTCTGTCCGGATTGAGATACAGAATTCGATTTTGTGGACGCGTGATTATGATATTCCCTTGCAAATTCATTTTCGAAAATATTTCGATCGTGCGGAACGTCATTATCTACTTCCCTTTCAATTTCAGATTCAACATCGCTCGGAGGTTCCGCATCAAACACCGCTTGTAAATCTCCATGAACGCTAAATCCTCTGGAGAAATCCCACAGTCGAGGACGATGTGGAAGACGGGGTAATTGTTCTGCTTCTCTTTGGCGACGGGGACCGGCCCATAATTGACGGCGTTCTAAGTAGCCGATGAGAAGTAAGAGGGGGGCATTGAGGAAACGTACGGCTGCTACGTTGATTTTGTGGAACCAGCGGGGTGTGAGGACGAACTTAAGGGGCATGAGGACGAAAAGAGCAAGGATGTTGAAAGGGGGGAAATAAGCGAATAAGGAGTCTGATTTTACGCCTTCGAGGGTAAGGACTGCACGACGGAATTGTATTTCGGCGGTGGTATTTGAGACGATGGTGGAGAATGTGGTTGAGAGCATGGAGACGAGAATAGTGAGGAAAAGAGTGTTGCCTAGGAAGGCGAAGGTAACCATGAGAATTGGACCTAAGAGCCAGTGAAATTGAGCAGATGTTGTGATGCCGGTACCATCGAGACCAAACCAGATCCAGAGCATCCATTTGGAAACTGTAATTGGTTCATGAATACCATTGCCGAGCCATATCATGGAAAGCAGAAATCCGGCAAAACACCAGACGGCGAGAATGGTCAGGACAGTAAAATCGCGCATCATGGCTCGGAGAGAAATAAATAGCATATTTTCGGACATGAGATTGAATGCTAGACGTGGAACAAGGACAGGAGCCCCCATTGCGAGGACATCTAGGGCTTGTTGACCAGTACTGACGTTGTCGGTGCGCCAGCCTTTGAAGCGCAGTGCGAGATAAATTCCAAAGATTGCGGCGAAGGTAACATCGAGGAAGGACCAGAGATTTTGGGTGTATACATGCCATCCGTGTTCGAGAATAGAGCAACTATATGAAGTCAGCGAAAGTTATCGATACCGACTCGGAAGTTGAGAAACCTACAATTGATCCAAAGTCCAACCCGATGTATAAATAATGAAGGATAATTCCATACCACCAAATGTAGATGGATCACGATCCGCCATTACATACAGATAGAATACCAACAGTAGCAAAAAGTGACACACTTCCAAATAATTCCTCGTACGGGGAACTATAAGTCTGTATTGGTTAAATAATGGCGCCTCCCTCGGATTGTATAACGAAATCGGTTTATTCTTGTAATGATCAGGCAGAATATCCATAAACGCCGTTGGAGTGTATATGATTCTGCCTTCGTAGATTGCGCTGATTACTTTTTGACAAGCCGATGAGCTTAAGAAAGCTTTACTTTGAGATGTAATGGCAATTTCTAGGGCTGGTAATCTTCGATTGACACCAGTACGGGATTGAGCGGCCCATCCAAAACTACTACTTTCGCGAATGACATTATTAGGAGCACCTTGGAATGGATCGAAACCCCCAACGAGTATACGAGAGAGTACAAGTAACCCTTCTGAGCCAGTATGGTCCTCGTGAAAACGGCGCAGAACTCGATTGGCAACTATTTCGCATAGATGAGCACGTGTGGTGCAAATGCTCTGTTGATGTGGGAGTGCCACTTGTTCGCGTTGAAATTGTGTTTTATTGACGAGGAGACAATAGACTGAATGGCTGTTAGCACTTGGAAACGAGAACAAATTGAGAAGAGATATAGGAAAGTATTCTGTGGCTTAAAGGAGGAAGTAGGTATGTTGAGTATGCTCTGTAAGAACTACCTGGGTCAACATATCACAGCAGTTTTACTCTTCACTTGAAGACAAAGTGCACAACCCACCTCCCCCAAAGCATCAAAAACACTTCAAAAAACATCCACATACCAACCGACAAATCATCCAAATCATACAACCTATCCACCAACGGTCTCACAACTGAAACATTCAACCTAGGATCCCTCAGTTGTTCCAAACTATACGGATCATCTATCACCCCTATTAGCCTAACTTCCCTCTCTCCCCTCGATTAAGAAGAACTCACCAATTGCCGAAATAATATCCCTTCTTACTCTGTATCGCTATTAACATCATTTCCAAACATTAAAGTAAAGAATATGAAAACAAACCGATGAATCGTCTTATAAACCGGCAAATTCCCAAACTCATCCTGCGGATAGCACATGTCTCCGAAAGCATGAGGATGGAAACATGCATGGCCATCATGTCTTCCAATTATCGTCGTATACCTGATTCCATTTCCATTTCCGTTTCCATTCCCATTTCCACTTCCCCTCGTACCTCCATCATTTTCCTCTATATCCTCATCAGGATCAGGTGTCAACAACTGCGTCGTTTCCGCACTAATATATCTCTCATTCCCATTCCCATTTCCATTCCCATTCTCATTCTCATCCCCACTCAAAAGTAAATGTCTCCGATCATTTTTAGGAACACGTGTCGAATTTCTAGAAGAAATAAAAGAAGGAGAAGAAGAAGAAGAGGATTGACCCATCATATCCCCAAGAACCTATGCCCAGACCAGGTTAGATTGATGAATATGGTACCTAGTAGTATTTATTGATAATATTGTTCTTGAACAGTAGGATCCAGCGCTGTTTAGTAATTTTATACCATGACACAAGCGTACAAGCTGGAGATAAGAGGGTGGACACTAGGGATTTCGAAGAGTAAAAGCTGCGATAAGGATTGCAGGCTTTAAGCGGCGGGAACTGGGTGAGCGAATTAAATGGGGGAATTGATGGTGGGGTTTTTGGGTGAAGGGATAGGAAGGGGGACATGTAGATCAAATATTTTGCAGGATGCGTGAGAGTATTTAGTAAATAGATTTTGGTATGAGTAATAGATAAATAGATAGCTTATTGATACAATAGAATAGAATAATTCACTCAATATGCCTAGGTAAGTTTTTCATTCCTTTGTTCTATTGTCCCAATCCTCCCAACTCTCCCCAATCATTCCTCCCTCTACCTCCACCTCCATCCACCAGCCCAGCTACAAATCCGTCTACCGCGCACTCCCCTCTTACCTCTCCGCCACTAAAGAAGCCCTACACCCATGGAAAATACATCAAAGTATGTTTAGAAGCCCAGGTTTCAGACAATTTTTACCGTAGCTGGGGGAAGGGAGGTGTGCCTCATACGGGAGAAGTCGGGGTTTGGAACGGACTGAGGAGGTTTTGGTGTATGTTTTGTGTGTTGGGGAGGAGGGAGGAGGGAGGTAGGTTACTAGGAGGTTACTAGGAGGGTGGTTGGGGTTTGAAGAAAAGAGGTGAGTCTTTTTTTGGCTGTTTCTTTGTTTATTTGCTTTGGGGAAGTTAGAAGGGATGAGGGAGTGAGGAGTTTCAGAAAGAAACCCAATTTCAAAGAGTAGAACGCATCCATATGAGAAGGTTTATATAAATTGGAGAACTTTTGTTTAAAACTGTAGAAAATCTGAGATTCAATTGAAATAGTAGTAGCGGCAACGTTTGCGGAATCTCCTCTTTTAAAATGCATGTCACATGCACCTATACTTCCGTTCGCAACTCTTACATGGGTATCCGTGCCTGCTCAATCAATCAATCAATCAATCAATCAAGGACGGATGGCAGCACATTCCGCTTGATTCATAGCATTCATAAAAATTCACTCTGATCATTTTCCCATTCATCTCTCTCTGTATCAAACGTTTCTCCCCAAAAGAATCTTTAGATCTACAACAAAAAACCCTTCACCTCAATCCTATCTCTGCCTTTCACCATGGCATCTGGTTGGGTTCCGGATACAGGTCCCATCGAGCTTGCTGATGGCACTCTAGTCTGCGAAGCTCATCATCAAGAAATCTGTGGCATCTGTTGCTGCGACTACAGCTTCATGCGGGAACTGCAGGAAGATTCTGGAAATGATAATAATGACAATGTCGAATCGACCTCTCACGCTCACTCTGACGACGAAATGGAATACTCGGGGGACTCCTTTCATTCAATGGGTGACAATATCCGCCAAGATACGCACACCTCCCGCTCCCCAGACAGATTCAGAGAACCCCTCGAATCCGACCCCATCCCCCCCCCATCACCAAATTCGTGCCTCCCCACTACACCGATACTCCCAGCATGCTTTTTCGCCCCGCTAACCGCTTCATCCGTCGTACCAACCCCCACGAAATCCTCATATTCACCGACGGCGCCTGTCTCTCCAACGGTCTCTCCAACGGTCTCACCAACCCTCGCGGCGGATGCGGATTCATCATATCCCCCACTGTGAAAGTCAATTTCCGACTAGAAAACACCGGCCCCACCAACGAACCACACACTCAAACCAGCAACCGCGCCGAGCTACGCGCCGTGAATGCCGCGCTTGAACTTCGTCACTGGCAAGGTGATAACATGGGTTCCTGGAGCCGACTCATAATCGCCACGGATTCCGAATACGTAGTGCTGGGCGCTACGGAGCGAATCCGCAGCTGGATATCGAGGGGTTGGCGAACCAGCACCGGATCACCGGTCAAGAATCAAGATTTGTGGAAGAGATTGATATATCGGATTAAACAGTTGGATATGCCGTTATCGTTCACATATCCTCCACATGGTGCAGCGGTGTCGTTCTGGAGGATTCCGCGGGGATGGAACGAAGAAGCGGATGCAGAGGCGAAGAAGGGGGCTGAGCAGGAGGAGATGCAGGAGTTTACGGTGATTCCTGGGGTGCTGCTTTGAATTTTCTGGATTTGTGGACTGGAGGTTAATAAGACATCCGTGGGGTAGTAGTCGATTTTTGGCATTGTAAGACTAGACATCTAGACACAAAAAGAGAGTTCAAGGGGAGATTTTCACATCCCTCTACAATGTATCTCGTTTTGGTCCGTATTTATAATGTCGAATTAAGAAATAAAGCTAGCTCCGACCCCCTTTCTCTCGTTCTCATTTCCTAGCGAACCCAACCAGTGACAGAATATGATCCATTGAATTTAAGAAATTGAATTGAAACGTATTACTTTAGGATGAAAACAAGCCCCCTACATACAGACATGAATAGGTATACCGGCATATCTTCGGTAATAAGAGCACACCATTTGATTGTTCACTTAAACTTTGAGGAATAGAACTTAAGCTATATTAGTACTTTGAGTTGTTCCTCATTCAACCACACACTTGCTGTACTCGTATTAAATCATAACTCCCTGAAAAGAAATAACAAACGTGGCTTTTATTCAGAGTTATTTCGTATTGCTATAGTTTTGACTCCATAAACTACTCCCATCTAATATCGCTCACAGTAATACTCCTAAAACGAAAGCAAGCAACCACATGATTGCATTCCGTCAGAACACCTCATACCTTCATCACTACACAATTTAACAATCGAAATCCCAACAGCCCAAAATAAGGATTAATCAACAACTTCCCCGACCCTCCCCACAAACCCCTCTAATCCAGCGACCCCCTTCTCCCCCCTCTCACTTCCCGCATACAACCCATGGCCGCCCCCAGGCATAACCAAAACCTGACTTCCCAGCTCTATCCATTCCCTACACGTCAACAATTCAAAACTAACATCTGTTATTCCATCCGTCCCAAAGATGAACGGTTCATCTTTTGTTTTCTCATCTGAATCAAATACATCTCCACCATCTAGTAGCCCCAGTCCAAAAACATCATCCACGTCTTCTGCTCCCGTGTCCGCGTGTATATCGTTAGCAGGAAGATTTGAATTTAGTTTGAGGACGCGGGCTGAGGCGCGGATACTGGCTATGTAAACTACCACTACTGTGCCTGGAGTGACAGAATTGATATCGCCGTCATCAAATGATGCGGTGAAACCGCTAGCTGCCTGAAGTGAATGATGTGTTTGGAGCATATGTTTACTTGGTATCGCCATAACCATTCCTTTGCGAATTCGAGGAGCGGATAGTGAAGAGCGTTCAAATACATCATTCGAGTGTTCTTCGTTAGTTTCAGGTAGGTCGAATACAATTCCTATCGTGCCTACTTGACCAGCTTCGATGGTGTGGACTGGGAGGCGGAGATTGCGAATACTGACTATGTGCGCATTGTGCCATTCACCTTTAGTGACGGAAGCGGCGGGTGTAGTCCGTGAGGCTATTTTGGCAAGTTCGATTGCTGAGGGATGTGTGAGAGAGGTACCAAGACTAGCAGGTGAAAAGCTTGGGCCAGACTGTGGGGAGCAATCGTCATCGGGCTCTGCTGGAAATGGGCCAATGACGATACTATCTCCAATTGAGAGTCTACCGAAACGAAGATGACCGGCAACTACACTTCCCGCATCTATACCATTGTTTTTTGAAGTCAAAGAATCGTATGAAGCTGGTACTCCGAATACGTCTTCAATGTGGAATAGACACGAAGGCTGTTCTGGATTAAGTGCCATCCCGATATAGTCATGAGGCGATGGCGGAGTAGGAATTGGCAAGGCTTGTAGAAGTGCATGAAGTTGACGAATACCGCTCCCTTTTGCTGCACTTGTAAGAATGATAGGAACGATTGACCTGAGGTCTGACATTGCCATTGTATTGATGACCTTTCGAACAGTATCAGTGTCTTTAGGAAGTATACTAGTAAGATCGGCACCAATGATAGTTTTAGTTGGATCTGGTGGAAGGATGGAAGGAGTTCTCCCTGTCGCTTTGATAGCGGACAGAAGTTTAGACAATGTTTGAGTCAGACTAGGTTTTGAAGCCAGATCAAGCTTAGTGATCACGATAGCCAAAGGTTTGTCTAATTTCAAGCAGAGCTCTAGATGTGCCTTTGCTAGATCAGTTCCTGCCCCAGCTGTGCCAAGTATTTCTGCTGCTGAAGAAGTGCTCCCGACCCCGTTTGAACCGGTGTCGTCGGCTGCGACGCATAGAACAGTCCAATGTGGTGCCCAACCAACTAAGCCTCGCACTGTTGTCCTACGATATCTTGGATGACCGGCAGAATCAGAGACAAATAGTAGCCGACCATCTTCTGCTGTAGCATGGATATCTGTCCAGGACGTGACATTGCCAGAAGCATAATTTACAACTTGTGAGCCCTTATAACCAATTAATTCCTGCGCCACGGAACTTGTGATCCCTGTGGCAATTTCATGACGATGCTTGAGTAGGCTGAGTCTACTTTTGCCTCTACCATTATCAAATGTTGTGGTAGACAAAGTACCTAGAAGACTTGATTTACCAGATGTAGTGGGACCGGTGAGGGTGATGCGTAACTGCTCAGTGGTATCCTCTTGTAGAAGAGGGGCTTCTTCAATAGCCTCGTTTATCGTAGGCTGTGGAGTATCATGGCGACTGACAGGAGCTTCATCATAAGGTATTGACTTTGCTCGTTTCGAACTGAGATCTGGAGTTATAAGAGCTTCGGCGACCCACAATTTCTCTCGGTGCCGGAGATTTGTTGATGTCGCTTGGTCTCCAGGGACCAGCCATGGTTTTTGTTTCTTGATCCGCTGAGGAATTTGAGATCGTATGGCTTCATCTGTCTCTTGCCACTCACAGTCCCCAACAACTACTTTTCGAACAATTTCGACATTGCACCCAAGACTAGCCGCCATAGCTCGTAAATTTATCAAACTCTCGTCTAGTTCATCAATTGTCAGGCCAACGAAAGTTCCATCATCAGAGACACCAATTTCGTATAATGCTCCACGGCTTTCCTCAAGTCCAGCCAAAAGCTTCCCAGGTCTTGAGTGAGCATCCAAGCTCGTTGCACTGCCAGGCAATCTGTTGGACATTGAAGTCAGCATAAGTTTACAATTAAAATAGACTTTATTGTATGTTTCAAACTGATTATTCTAATCCGGACTTTGACCACATCGGCACAAAAGCACAATCACCGTTATGGGGGTGATGCACTCACTTTGGTAACACAAGATCACTTGTAGAAGATGCATGATATGGAGACGACTGCTGTAAACGCCACAGCAATTGGGTCGTAAGCTGCTCTAGACGTTTTTGTTTGCTGTGATTGGATGGTGCCAATATAGGGCTCGCTTTCTCCTGATTAAGAGGTTGCTGTTTGTGCTGCTGAGAACCGGATATTATTGAACCAGTACTCGAGGAGCTATATGCTCTCCTTGGTCTTAACAAAAGATGCAGTTTGTATTCTGTAGGACCTTCTTGTGGCTCTGCCTCCAATTTCGTAACTCCATATTCCGAAATATGACTTGACCCGGAGGGTTCGCGTAGAGCTTTTAGGTATGGCTGAGGTGTAGATGGTTTGGGAGAATCTGTAGGAGTCAACCATGGCGATTCTACCCTTTGAGGTTCAGGTTCATATGTGAAAATCGATGCCATTGCCGATATCAATCCTATTCGTAGCCACTACCTCGCTGTTCAACCTTTCTTTCAACAATCGAAAGATCAATGCTACTTCTTGCCACCGCCCCAAATGTCCAATCCTCACTCAACAATCCGTAGAATCTCTAAAGACTGCCGCCGCCGTATCAACACTTTTCCAGTGGCTGATATAGACTGTATATTAATATGGTGGTTATGTATTCGGAAAGTGTGTAATAATCGTAAAAACATCTTGATGTTCGTATTGGAATTGAATACTGAAGTGCTTGATAGGTACAGGAAACTAGGTTCAACTGCTGGTAGTCGGTGGAAAGAAGTGTCGAACTGAGAAGCAGTTATGCGAATTGGTTAGAACTTGAAGTCATTTTGATATAACTTCTCTTTGTATATTATATCGTTTGCGGCTCGAAATAAGTAGTTTAACTGATACCAGATGACAGTCTCACAGTCAGTCAGACCGTTTTACTGGATTGAATCAACCAGGGGAATTGATTGGTTGATTTGGTTCACTGGTTTCACAGCATTCATTGGCTCTAATGGATCCAGTCATATTTGTAGCTAACAGGGGCTCGGAGGGCTCCACAGGCTAAGCCCCACTCGATTTCAGGCATAACACCCTGAAACTCATTTGCATCTTCGACCCATAAACTCAAGTTATGTTCAAGACAACCCTTTGTTACAACTTAACTTATTAACAATATTTAAAGGGGAGAATCAAATTCAGTTGAATTAAATACTTGAACTTCAACTCCTTCTATCTGTCAGATATAATCAACTTCAAAATCACCTTCCATCCATTCTCTATTGTCCTCTTATCTTATTCCCTATCGAATACCTTTCAGCCAAATAATCGTCACCTTTTGAATCGTCACAATGGGTCTCTTTTCACGAAAAGACAAGAACTCCTCCCCTGCCCCAGCGGCGAATCCTTATGCCACTCCACAACCTCAAGCCGACCCTTACGCACAAGATACAAACAAATATGCGAAGATGCCCACTCAGCCAACTCAATCTCCATATCAATCAGCTAGACAGCAGGTTTCCGCCCCAGGCGCTGCGAGTGCCCCTAATGGTGGTGGAATGAGTGGCTCTAACCCTCGAGCTCCGGCTCCCAATGGTGGCGGATACGGATCTGAGAAATATGGCAGTGGCGGTGGATATGGCGCAAACAGATACGATGGCCCTCCCGCCAATACAGGTTCAAAATATGGCCCATCAGGTTATGGTGGCTTAGGAAGAACAAACAGCAATGATACAACTACGACAGAAGACAACAAGAGCGAACTATTTGGTGGCGCAAAGGATAGATACACACAAAAGTCGACTACTTCCGACCGACCTCAGTCATATGGTGCCCAGTCAGAGGCTGACCCAACATCAATTGGAGGCGGATATGGAGCATATGGAGAGGAAAGACAGCTCACCGCTGAAGAAGAGGAAGAGGAAGATGTTCAAGCAACAAAGGCTCAGATTAGAGCCATGAAGCAAGAGGATGTTTCATCTACCCGAAACGCATTGAGGATCGCGGCCCAAGCTGAAGAAACCGGCCGTGCTACTTTGGCTCGTCTAGGTGCGCAAGGAGAACGTATCCACAACACTGAGAAGAACTTGGATCTTGCTGCCAACCATAATCGAGTTGCTGAGGAGAAGGCCAAGGAACTAAAGACTCTTAACAAGAGCATGTTCGCTGTGCATGTTGCTAACCCATTCACGGCGAAATCGAGAAAAGCTCAACGAGATGATGATGTTATCAACAAACATAGAACCGAGCGTGATCAGCGTGAGGAAACTAGAAACGCGGCTTTCGCATCTACTCAGAGAATGGAGGCAAACTTCAAAGGTCTCCAGCCTGGAGATGTTGGATATCGGGCAACAGCAACCAAAGCCAGTCTTGCAGAGAGGTCCAAATATCAATTCGAAGCCGACTCTGAGGATGATGATATGGAGGGTGAAATTGATTCCAATCTCGATGCTCTTGGTCATGCTGCCGGAAGATTGAATTTGTTGGCCAAAGCTACTGGTCAGGAAGTTGATGATCAAAATAAACATATCGAGAGAATTATCGGCAAGGTATGCTATCATTTGTTTCTATTTATTCTACATAAATGCTAACTATATCTCAGAGCGATCGTGTCGACGATCAAATTGCTATGAACAGAGCCAGATTGGATCGTATCCATTAAACAGAATCCCTCTGAACATAGACTTATTAACAACACAACTGTTCAGCTCCGCCACAAGCTTTCCTCGCATACGTCTTATTGCAAGCGGCTTCTAGCACAGCATCCTGGCTGCAGATAAACCATCCCGAAGAAACATTGGAATATCCAACTGAAGACTGAGTCGCGGACGAACAATCGTGGAAATACTCTATCATGATGCATATTACAATCTAGGAGTTTTGGGTCAAAGCATGGGTTTTACAATTTAGTCTTTTGGGAATGCGATACCTAGGTACCTAGTAACTTAGTCTGCTATTATGTGGTTGATGTACATAGATACATAGATACATACATAGAGTTTTCCAATTAAAAAAAACATTTCAAAACATGTGATTATTTGTTTCGAGATAAATATCTTCATATATCAAATTCCTAGAGGGATCTTTGACTCGTATATTCTCATAGAGTAAGTAGTATAGTCTAATATAGTTATCTAACTAGAACTCTATAATCATTATCGCTTATCATTCATCCTTAACTTGAAATTATCTTTTTCTTTGAAGATATAGATAGTCTACTCGTAGATCTAGATAGACTTGTATAAGTATATACAATTGCTAATATTTTTATCTCAGGCTAGAGTATCTAATCTTATTATATAAAGAATATTAAGACTATATATATATATATATATATATATATATA